GGGTGATCAGTCCTCCCCCTGCTGATAACTCACCTCATCCCCTACTCCGTCCGACATTTTGCCGCTTACAAGACGGACGTCATCACTGAGGTACCTCCTCATATCTGGCAGGCAGGTCCAGTCCAAAACCTCCCAGGACCCCGTCTTGCCGCAAGGGCTTTCTCGCAAATCGTTCCTCCCGGGTGGTGTTTTTTTGGATCCGGCCTCTTCCTTTCAAGAGAGTTGGGGCTCTCAATTAGTCCACGAGTGCAGTTACGAAGACCTCATAATTAGTCCAGAAGCACTCATAATGCTTCGGCGGGGCGGTGTCACTCGCCCCGTGATGGTTGTGGCTTCCACCCGGTACCACGCCCAACTCCTCCCTTCTGGACAATACTGCTCAACTTAAGGCGAGCCGTCGTGGTCCATTCCAAGCGGCCATGCCGCCCCTCAACGACATGGCGTGTGGTTGGGGAGAACAAAAGAGAGTAGAAAAAAAAGAATGGTTCTCTCGCCCATTTGGTTCCCTCACCCTTTGACGTTTAGGCGTTCAACACGAGGCGCGATTTGAACTTCCCGACTAGAGCTTGTTGTCGGGGTCAGTTCCGGACGTCCCACACGGATCCAAGTGGTAGGTGCCTTGGTCCTTTAACCATCATCCCCTTACAAGAGGAACAGGTCGCACTGAGACTTTTTCCCTTATAGGGATAGAGGTCTTGGGGTCGAGGTGCGAGCACCGGTATCCCCCTCCTGCTGAGGCCAAAGACTAGAAAAAGAGAAAATCAATTTCAATGCTATTTCCAAGTTCATTTCAAGTTGCCTAGGGTCCCTTGCCTATGCAATGCAATATTCAATCCTCAATCATTCAATCCAATGCTACGTCTAAGGCTGATTCTCATGGCTGGTCTGACAGCCTCTTATCAACAAGGTCACCATCACGGCCGGTCTGGCGGTCATTCTCTCAAAAGCCATTTCTCAAGACTGACCCTTCCGCCCACGCAATCCTCAATTTTCTCATTCCTCAACACCCAATTTTTGTGGCCGTCGCAACGGTCCCTGCCCTTCTCGGCTTTAAGGCTCCGCCTTCTTTATTTTGTCCTTCTCTTTCGCATTTTCCTTCCGTCCCCTTAGCAATTTTCAGTGGCCGACCCACCGGCCTTTTCCATTTCCTCCATTCAACTCATTGGCTATTTCAACGACCGACCCACCGGCCTTTTCCACCTCTCTCATCCATCCTTTGGCTATTTTCAATGACCGACCCACCAGCCTTTTCTATTTCTCTCCTCCCATTGGCTATTTCAATGACCGTCTCACCGGCCTTTCCCATCTCTTTCATTCGTCCCATTGGTTATTTCAATGATCGACCCACCGGCCTTTTCCATCTCTCTCATCCATCCTTTGGCTATTTTCAATGACCGACCCACCGGCCTTTTCCATCTCTCTCATTCCAGCACATTCTCAATCAGCCTTTCTCAATCAACTTTTCTCAATCTAATACGCAGAGGACCCCATTGCCTATTTCAAAACGAATGACCCTTGTCAGGGGCCATTCCTGAACAACCTGGTTAGGGTCGTTCTTATCCATTCTCAAGTCGAACAGCCTGGTTAGGGCCATTCTTTTTCATTCTCAAGTCGAACAGCCTGGTCAGGGTCATTCCTTTCCATTCTCAAGTCGAACAGCCTGGTTAGGGTCATTCTTTTTCATTCTCAATGTTAGTGCCCAAGGGGGTGGGCCTCGAGGTTACGGATCCCATTTCTGTCTTGGAGGTTAGAAGGTGGTCATCTCATCTTTTGCGTGTTGTTCTCTTCCTTTCATTTCTCACAGTAATGTACCATCCATTCCATTTCTCACAGTAATGTACCGTTCATTCCATTTCTCACAGTAATGTATCATCCATTTCATTTCTCACAGTAACGTACCATCCATTGTGTACACTCGACTTAGCGTCTGGCACCCAAGTTGGGGCTCGCGATCCCAAGCAGCTCTAGCCCACCCGGCCGCTCATCCATAACAAAAGACAAAAGCGCCCCTTTCATTTTCACTCTTCCTGATCTCTCAGGTTTTGGCTATTCTCAGTCTCATTCATGACTTAGTTGGATTAGGCTCCTAGGGAAGGAGTGTTCTTCACGCACCTTAACCCATAGGTTCCCTAACCTCTCTCGTACTCGACCAGTCATTCAATGCCATGGTTTGCTCGTCAATCCGTACTCAAGGTTTTCCTCTCTCAAAAACATAATCCTTGTTCCATCCAAAATTCACAATACGCCCTCTCCCAATCGGTCTCATCCCAAATCCCATGTCTTTGTCTTAGGTACCCAAGGTAGCTCATCCAAAAACCTCAACAACTATCTTTTACTTTAGCGTGACACAGCCTTAGCTGGCCCTTTTTTCACTTTCTCCTTAGCAAGCTTGCCCATATTATACACGTTCTCGTCATTCTCATATCTCTGCAGACAGAAAGCAGCGATCCTTTTCAATGCTAAGCCAACACCTAGTTCCTATTACTGCCTTGCACCTCGTCTCGCCTAGTTTCCTTGTCCACTCTATTCCTCGGCAGGCTTCCTAACCCCCAGGCCGTAGGTCTCGATCTCTCTTTTCATCCTTACAATTTTATGCAACTCAGCCTCGTTGAAAAAATCCAGTGGTGTGGCTTCCACCCCTGCCCTTGCGAGTGCCCGAGTCTTGATAATTCATTCGTGCCTGATTACATTGGTCCATTGCTGAAACCAGTGACTGGGCGTTAGCCCGAACTCGTCCTCCCATCTGAAAGCCCCATCGCCTGGCTGGTGCATCGGAGGCCGCCCCTCTTCGCTAGGCCTTGAGATTTCATCCCTTTCATCCCCGCTGCTGATTTATATGACTTCTCGCACATCCTCCTCCTCGCCCCCCTCGTCTTTAGTCTGTATGGGGCTATACCCACCAGCAAGGTTCTTCGGATCGTAGGTAAAAGGGATCTCTGTCCCCGTCCCATACCCCTCGCAACTGCCGTGACCGCTTCATCCTTCAATCGGGCTCTCCCTTTTCTCCTCGTCCTCCTCACGTTCGTCGCGCATACCTTGTCCCCCCTCGCTTTCCCCATGCCAAGTCTCACGTCGTTCGCCCCTGATGGCCCATTCCTCCTTAGAGACCCGAGCCTTATCTCCCATTTCTGTGTTGCCTCCTTCTTCCACATTTGCCCTTCCCTTTTCGCCCTCACTGTCGGATGATATTTTTATACCTTCTCCCTTGCGGAGGGGTGAGGGTTTCCTACACAAACATTTCCTTCCACCCCTGCCTACTACTGGCCCGCCCATGAGCCCAATGTACAATTTTCTCTTCGTTGTCCTCCTCCCTTGGCTTGGTCCAGCTTCTTCCCCTCTGGTAGGCGTGTTGATTGCCCCGTTGTCGTTCTCGTTGCCGAATTTCATTTTTGTTTTTTCTCGTTTTACTCCTAAGCCCTGTATAACAAAACAACACCCGCAATGTCCCTCATACACTTACACCTCCCCCGCCCTTAGGCCGGTAGACATTCCCAAAATGCACCCAGTATCCCTCGCATCACGCCCTTTTTATACATGCGAATGCGTCGTTCGTGATGACCCCATATTTTTCCCGTCAAAAACTATGGTACAATGCCCCAAACATCCCTTCCCGTTGTCACACAAGCCAGATATTGCAACCCCTAAGTCATACTACCTTTCAACCTCAGTCAGTCCAAGCCAAAGCACCAGTCCCAAAAAAATGACAGTCCCACAAACATAGTCAGAAACAAACCATAGTGTGGGCAAGGCTGTGGTTAGTCTTTAGCTTGTGGCTCTTCTGTTTCCTTATCTTCGGCCTCCTGAAGCCATTGTTCCACTGGGTCCTGACTTAGAAACCTAACCAGTCGTTGCCCCAGGAAGGGCCCTTTCAATCCAGTTTCATCCAAATCTTCCAGTTCGAAGGTGTTCAGTCCCACCCACTTGGCGACCCGGTAGGGGCCTTTGAACCTCCTTCCCAACTGTCTCGACCAAGTACTTTTTAGTGTCGAGTTCCTTAGCAGTACCATCTCCCCCACCTGAGGTGGCTCCTTTCTGACATTCTTAACCTGGTCCCATCTTGCTTTGTCCCTCATTCTGCTGTCCAGCAACCGGCTGACGATGTCTTCCATGACCTCCTCATTCTTAAGGATCTGTTGACATCTTGCCTCGATTAACTCTTCAGTGGTCATTTGCGGATCATCATCTAACCTATTCCAAGTAGGTACCAAGGCTTCCACAGGAAAGTCGATCCCTCTTCCGTACCAAAGCTCTGCCGGGATACATCCTGTTGTCCTTTTAGGAGTCATATTCTCTGCAAAACAGCCTGCTTAAGATACCTAGGCCAGTTCCCCAGGTGGTCTGCTGCAAGCTTTGCAATCGTGTTCTTCAAGGTTCGGTGCCCCCTTTCCACCGGTGCATTGGCCTCAGGGTGATACGGCTCGATGAGTTTAATCGGTACGCAGAGTCTCTTAAGCATCCCCAATACTTCTTGGTTCACAAATTTTGTCCCATCGTCTGCTATAAACCTCCTGACGAACGGGTGCCTTAAGTAGAAGTGTTTTATCCAGTCCACCACACTCCTCCCTGTCTTTTTCTTGAGGGCGACTGCTTCCACGAACCCACTCAAGTTATCTCGCGCATCTAGGATATACCTGTATCCATCCGTTGATACAGGCATGATCGCAAGGTCGAGGTGGACCAGATGTCCCGGCCCTAGCACCCGCGTTGGTCTAAGCGGCTCGAAAACTCGTACCGAGCTTCGTTGGCAAATAAGGCAAGTCTAGCAGTATATGGCGCCCATGCCTGCCATGCCTGGCCAATAATAGAGCGGCGTTATCGTTGCAAGTGCTCCTTTGGAAGATCGATGTCCTCCTGCTAACCCGTCGTGCATTACCTAGATAACGTCTACTTGCCTAGACCTTCCGCACACAACCCTCCTGGGCATAGCACCTTCCTCCCTTCGGAACAAATGCCCGCCCCTTAGGACGTACCTTTCGACTTCTTCTCTTGCCTTAATACTGACTTCCGCAGGTTGTTTGTTTCCTACCAACAACAAGCCGATTTCCCGAAAGAGCCCTTCCTATCATTGGACATAGAAAAACTCCTCTCCTTCCTTGCCCTCATCCTTTCCTTCCTGCATCTGATTTACCACCCATTGCAACTCTTTCCTTTCCCAAGATTCCACTAAGCTCATCACTGCTTCCCGGCCCCCTTCGACCGCCATTGCTATCAGCTCCTCCTTCGGTCCTACTATCGCCCCCCATGATTTTTCTTCTTCTCTGCGTCCTCGAGTGGTAACTGGACCTTCCCTAAGTTCAGCTACTACGGCAGGTGCCCCCTTCTGCAAAGTCTGGATCAATAGTTCTCCCGATGTGCATCCCTTGCTCATCATTTCGTTATCCACCGCAAGAGTTCCTCCTTCGTATTCGAGGAAGGCGTCTATGGGCTCTGCATCCTCCATCCCTTCGGGGGTGATGCAAACCCGACTCAGCCCATCTGCCTTGTTGAGGATTTCAGCAATCCGTTCGATCTTGTAATCGAACTGCCAGATGAATCCTACCCATCTCCCTACCGTCGAATCTATAGGCCTGTAATTCTTTAGGGCCCCTGCGGCATTCGTCAGATCGATCCTTAAGATGAACCGCCTCCCAAATAGGTAGGCCTGGAACGTCTTAAGGCAATGCAGGATGGCTAGGACTTCCTTCTTGAATTGCGAGTACCGCCGTTCTGCGGAGTTCAGGGTTCTACTTTCGAACCTAATCGGCCTCTCTTTTCCTCCCTCATCCCTTTGGATCAACACACCTCCTACGGCCAAAGGTCCTCCATCCGTCTCTAGGATGAAGGGTCGTCCCACTTCGTCATTAAAACAAGGTGTGGACAGAGTGACTGTCTCAGATGTCAATATGTCCTTGAGTCTTTGGACAACTCCTTCCCGCTCCTCCGTCCAATCCATGGTTCCTTCTTCTATGATCATAGCCCGGATAGGCTCAGCGATATTGGCAAAGTTTTTAATGAAGATCCTCCAAAAGCCGACCACGCCTAGGAATGCCCCTACCTCCATCGTCGTGCGTAGTGGCGTCGGCCACTGTGATATCTTGTCGGTCTTTGCCGGATTCGGCTTCCTGCTATAAGCACTGCAACGAAATCCTAGTATAGTCACATCCGGTACTGCTAGGATACTCTTTGGTCCACTAGCCGTAATGTTGTATGCTAGGAACCGGCGGAGTAAGTCCTTGATGTCCTGCGGGTGGTCCCACATAAGACGTCGGATCCCTGGCTGGACTTCCGTCTCGTCCTTTTCCTGCGCGCCTTTGATCGGATTGTCATTGATGTAAGGTTCATATTTTTCTGGGAACATGTCCCCGGCCACAATGAGCATTCTGCGTTGTGCTTCGGCCACCGCGTTTGGGAATCCCATAGGTGTCACCTGCATCTGTAGCTGGCCTACGGGGGTGTGCATAGCGGTGAATGGCCTGTCTCGAACATCCAATGGAAGCTGGTCGTACCCTGAGTACAAATCTATCAAGGAGTAAATGCTCCGACCAGCGTGCGATTCTGCTAGTAAGTCAGCCTGAGGTAGCGAGTCAGCATCCCGGATGGTTACCGCATTCAACTTCTGCAGGTCCTGAATCCACCTTAGTGTCTTGTTAGGCTTCCGAAAGACGAACCACCGATTTGCGTATGGCGATGCCGTAGGCTCCGCAACGAAGGAGTCCATCTTCGCTCGGAGGAGGTATGTTACCTCTCCCGCTATCCCAAATTCATAGGATGGCCCCTTGTCATTCCAGCAATCATGTTCTACCGTGTGGATTCTGACCGGAGGGATCAACTTTGCATCCAGTCGTCCCTTCTGGTGATCACTAAAGGCAAACGCCAGATGAAATTCCTAACAGGTCCTTTTGATCAGGCGGTTTTCTTCTTCCGTTAAAAACCCGTCTATCCCTATCTTCATTGTGTCTGGTAGCTCATCAGGTATCCGATGTCCCTCCGTCGCCCTTCTTTCTCGGATCACTCGAAGGACCTCTTCCTCCTTCTCCATAGCCTCTTCCTTTGATGTCTCTAGCAGGATCGAGACCTTTTCTGCTACCATAACACCTAGGACTTCGTCCTCCTGCCTCCTCTTCTTCTGGGGCAGGCCCATCTTGATCCACTCCTTCTTGTTGAACGCTTCCTCAATCATGATTTCTACCCTTTCTCTCATACCCTTCATCCGTGCGAAAGCCCCTTTTCACGTGCTATCCTCGAATGACGGCGACCATGTTGCCAATTTCCCCCTCGGGGGGTCTCCTCTCGTTTCAAGGAGTCGGAGGACCATGTATGAGCCATCGTGCAAGTGCATGCCTATCATCTCTACGTTCGCGCACCACGGTCTCCCGAGGATTATGTCGTGATCCATTTCGTCCATTACGGTCATCCGCTGAAATGACTAGATTGATTTCCTGATCCCTGCCTTTACAGCACACTTCGTGACGTACCCAGCGAACGGGATTTTCCCGCCAGCTCCCCGGATGCTCCCTGTTAATTCCTTGTTTACCGTACATCCCGTGATCGTTGCGAAATCTCTTCTTATAAGGGTGATTTATGCCCCCCCGTCTACTAATGAATTGGTGTGATGACTCCCGATCTGGATTTTCGATTTCCCTACGGGTAGCGCATGAAAGCTAAGCTTCGTCCCAGGTGGCGATCTCATGACTTCGCCGCCCTCTCGGTCGGGCAAACTCAAACGAATGTCTGCAAAGGTCTTCTCGAGATCCTCCAAGTCCCCGCGACTCCTCTGCAGGTTACCCACTTCTTGCGGAACTTCCTCCTCCCTCTCCCCTTCAGGTAGTTCGGGGTTGTCGCCTATTTCTACTCGCCGTCGGGTCAACAGTTGTCTAAGCCCTTTGAGCAACCCAGGGCTAGCCTGCAGCATAGTATGAAAAGACACTGACACCATGGTCCCTAGTAACTTGCTAATGGTGTCGTCGATCTCAGGTAAGGATAAGATCGGGATTTGGTACCTAAACTTCTTCTTGGCAACGAAAACTTTGTCGGCAGGCTCCTCTTCCCTAGGTTTCCCATAGACCTTTTCCGGTTCCTCGACCTCAGGCTCTGCCTGGGGTTCCAAACTCCCAGCAACCTCCTCCATCACGGTGTCACGGTTAATCCTTCTCCCAACCGTCCCTAGCCGAGTAGTCGCGTTCACCCTATCATGTCCGTCGTTTTCCAAAATGAAATTGACCTGCGGCCCGTGCCCCTGGCGTTGATCCCAGATGATCTCGCCCACCGGTTCGGCTTCTACGGCTGTTATTTCTAGCCCGTTGAGCATGATAATGGCTCGCCGCATCCCTCCTGGTGAGTTCCAGTTCACCCGTTCTCCTTGTGGTCAAAATATCTCCCCCTTTAATAACCTGGTACACCTTCTTTTTAGAATATCATGGTTGAGCTTTGGGCACGCGCGCACATAATGTCCTATCACGATACAATATTTGCATTGCTCGTTAGCGGGATCTCTCCGTCCGAATCCACGATTGGCCACGCCTGGCGGAACTACTGCTTCCTTGGGCAGGAGGGGGGGACGGGATACTTGCGCATGCATAACTAATAGCGTGTTCTCCATCCTTTCAATCTTGTTGTCGACTCCATGCACCCGTTCGTGTAGGCTTTCAATCCCCTTTTTCACCTTGTCGCCCGTCCTTCTGGTCAAGTCTATAATCTCCCCTTCCTTAAGCAAGGCCAATGTCTCGGTCACTACCGTCTTTTCGGCCAGATCCGTTACCGTACTGAAATCAACGTCCCTGGTGTTTACAAATTTGCTCGTCTATTGGTAAGCCAACAGGATCTTGTCTTTGTCGAACTCGAAGAACTGTCTGAGGAAATACTTACTCATTATTCGATCCGTAACCCCGGGGATTCTTAGTGCTACCAAAGTAAACTCCCGTAGGAAGTCATTGTACGTTGCGAAGTTCTTTCTCTGGACTGCCGCTAAATCGGCCTCCGTTGCCATCTTTTCTGCTGCCAGATACTTCCTCATCATCACATCCCGGGTTTCTTTCCAAGACCGGTTTGCGGCTACGATGGTCATTATGTCCCGTCCTAGGTTCAAAGACACATGCTGTCCCAGGTGGTCCATCTTCTACTCTTCGGTCCATTTCAACAGCGCAGCCAGGTTCTCGTAATCTATCAGGAATTGTGTGATGTTCGCCCCATCAAACGTCAACTTCTTCTTAGCATCCGCTAGGTAGCCTTGATTTTTGTTTAGTGTTCGCGCGAGGGACGACACTATCTTCTTAAGGCCGCCCTCGGAGCTGCTGGCCTCGCCTGTCACACTGTTATCCGGACCTTCCTTGTCGGCCTTCTGTCCCTACCTGGTTTTCGTAGTTCCTTCTAGGTCAAACCATCCTAACACTCTTTCCCTAAGGCTCTAGAGTCCTTCGCATCCTCGCGTCACTGCTGGCGTGGCCGGCAGGCGGCTAGCCCTACTATCTATGGCTGGCGGGGTCGTAGCCTTTTCCACATCCATCCCCGGAGAGTTCTCCACTTTTTTCCTTCTTTTGCTCGGCGTTCCCCCACGGTCACTACCTTTATTCCCTTGTGCAGTCCCACCTCGGCCGGTTCTCCGTTCGTCCCCGGGTTCCTCCTACAGAGAACCTTATTCGTTCCCAGTGATCATTTCCTCAATCAATCTCGCCCTGTATTCCGCGGTCCTTTTGTCTATCTCGGCTAGTCTGCGCCTCGTATCTGTGACTCTTACTTTCTTAGACACGGCTCCCTCCGAGCTCCCGGGGTTTGTCCTATCCTTATTCCTGCCTTCCTTGGTCCCCTGAGTCCCCTGCCTGCTTACCCCAGCTTTCCCCGAGCTTTCCCCTGTGGAGATCTCCTTCCGGTTCCCTTTGGTACCATCCGGATTTATCGATTCTCTGTCCTTCTGCCCCCCTTCGCTTTGTGCGGCACTGCCTCCTAATCCCGGTCTTTCTTCACTCTTATGATTATTTGTTTCCTCCTCCATTGCCATTTCGCCTAGTTCTGCATAAGCCAAAGAATTCCCAGGACACACGCAATGCGAGGCATTTTAGGTTTCCCAGGCTCCCAGCCCTGTTGGCTTATCTGTATAGCCTCCTTTCCCATCCTCGTTTCCTGATTCCCTTTCCTTAAGGAGGAGCCACGACTGGCCCTGCCGCTCAGCCGAGCTATGAGCGTGACTTGGTTTCCTTTATCACAAGCCTGTTTGTCATGCCCTTGTCCCGTAGGGCCGATGCGAGGGAGTCCGGGTTAGGCATTCTGCTAGGGAAAGTCTTTCCAAGCAGTGTTTCTTATTTTTTACCTTCAGGGTTATGGTCAATCATTAGGAGTCTACCCCCTTCTTTGTTTTCCTAATGGGTTTTAGCCATCCGGGTCCGAGGCCCCTTTCTTATTCTCATCGGCGGATTTCCGTACGCAGCGAACTATACTGGATTTGCCCTATTGGCCTGCCTGCGGATCCTAGTCCCACTCTCGCCCTCGTGGTTCTTCCAGTTCGGTCGGCTCCTCGAATAGCTCAGCCACCCCTGCCAAATAGCTCTCTCCTATCTCGATTTCCCTTTGGATTATGCGTTCGGCCCTGTCTGGTCTAGCCAGGGCGCACGAAATATCACGATATGGATGACCTCCAGTAACTCGTGGGCCCTGTTTCCCCAGAACGGCCCATGCCTCACGGCGACATCATAGAACATCCCGATGGTTAGAGAGGGAAAGTGGTCTGCCCACATTATTGCCAAGTCTGCCAGCTCTCGCGCCCTTGCGAGGCTCCCGAAGACGAGATCTATCATAAAACGGGGGACCCGGCACCTCAGCGGCGTGGTTGGTGCTCTGAATTCACGCCATCCCCCCATTTCCACCCGGGTAAGTAAGCCCACGTTCCTTCTACCCCTGACTGATTGTCCTATCCGAGTCAACGTCCGGGCGGCCCTTTGAAAAATCGGCGCCAGCTCGTGACCTTGTGCTATCTCTACCCCCAACGAGTGCCAGCCGATCTCAGGCAGATATATGGTTCTGGTAACTTCCAGATTGGAAAACAGATCGTCCCCGGGTCCTCGATCGAGTCTCATTCCTGTCCACCGACATTCTACCAACATGAAGGCGGCGTCCCTCCCCAAAGTCACAGCCCGCCATTCTATATCGAACCCCCGATAAGTTGAACTCGACGGGAGGGATACTTCCCAGCGTCCACCATTATTCCACGGCGGTCCTGGGTACCGGGGTTGGCGCGCCATTCGCACACGGGCCTGAAGTTCTATATGCTCACGTCTTACTGCCATGGTTACCTTGGTGATTTCCTGCATGATCCACATAGAAAGTGTCACAGCCAATCCTTAGAAATCGTCCACCTACTGCCCCCTTGTCCTTCATGTTTTCATTTCCCTTTCTAGTCCCAACTATCCCTCTATACCCCTGGGAGCAGTAGCCTCCTCGGGCTATTCATACAGCCGGTAGAGATCATCTATGTAGGTCGCGCCCCGATCTACCTCTCGCCGGATGAATCTCCACATGGTCTCATCACTTATTTACGGGACTCCTGGCCTAGTATTCATTGCTGCTCGTAGAATGCAAAGCACCCCGCCCCCTTGTTCGTCCCCGAAAGGCCCCATCTCTAGAAAGGCCCGATAGTACTCTCGATACATTATCGCTTCGTCAAAATTTAGCCTACTTATGGCAATTACCGCCTGCTCCACTCGTTCTATGCCTCCCATTCGTCTTAGCAGGAAGGGCGACAGACTCATCCGTACGATCTCATTCAGCAGCTCAAAGACCCCTGCTGCGGCGACTTTTACCTCAGCCGTCACGTCATCTCATTCCGGATCTGCAAACTCAAACCCCTCCCGCCAGGTTATTTGCCATGCTCCTTCGAACATTCGCACGGGGTCATCCCCGGAAGCCAAAGCAATCCCAAAGGTTCGCCATTCTTCTTCCGACAGGTGTAAGGATCCCGTCGCGTGTACACGCCCTGGGCGGTTCAAGTCTACACCCCCGAACTCCCCTCTCGCACGCCATTCCAGATCCACTACTAGGTACACCGTATCTTCCACCAACTCTACCCCCACCCAGTCCATCACCGGATTGCCTACCATACTTCTTGTCGGCAGGCTTATTTCGACCCTGCCTTCTAATATTCTTGGTGGCAGGATCCCACGAGGTTTATCCTCCCATAACGCCATTCGCCGGGCCATCTCGCAATGTCTCCTTTCCCGCTTTCTGCTTGCTGCACCCACCGAGATTCCACGCCTTTCGTGTTTTAGTCTTTCAACCCCCCCTCTTACTTATCGTACACTGGTTCTTGCCGCTATCCCGTTTCCATGTCTGCCTTTACTTTGGCCTCCTCGCGTCCCTTGCTGACTAATGTACATGCCCCTTTCTTATGTTACATCCTAAATCACATGCATCCTCCATACTACATCCTTCTCGTGGCGCTCGAACGTTGAACTCTTTTAATCAAACCACCGCACCTCAAACAGCAAAAAGACATCGTCTACATAGGATGGCGCGACCGCCGCCCCCGGCTAACTATGGCGTCCCAAGCTTTCGCGCTTACTTCTAGGCGGTCGGACTTGCCTATTCTCAGAATGGTGATGACCTCACCGGCCTTATCCCCGTAGAAGGGCCCATACTTTAAGGAGAACCTATAGAACTCCTCGGTCATCCAGGCACATTCTATGTGTACTTTCCTCATGGAGTCGGCTACGTCTGCTATGTGCTCAAAACCCCCGAACCAGTCGCCCACGAACTCGGGTACCCAAGCTGTTATGCACAGGCAGGGAGGCCTGAGTTCTTTCCATCCTCCCATCACAACTTTGCTACTAACTTCGTCCCACCCTTCATTGGCGAACCTCTTGCCTTCCTTCCGGGTTCGCACCTCTGCATCCCATAGAAGCCACATCGGGTCCTGCCCCATGGCTAACATAGTGCAAAACAGGTGACATCCATCCTCGGAAAGGACAATCGTTTCGACTGACTCCACTTTGCCCTCTGCTAAATCGTCCCAACCTTCCTCTTCCCTTATCGGGTTCCAAATCCGCTCTATCCATACATATGACAAGTCCCGGGCAACCTCAAACCCAATCCAATCGCACGTGGTCCCTCTCCATCCGTTCCCTATTGGTATAGGCATTTTTATTCCTCCTCTGAGTCGCCGTGGTTCCCAG